TTTGGGAATGCTTGTGATGCTCCAGGCACTGCTGTGAACTCTTTCAGGTATGATCTCATTTAAACCTACTAGCAAGTTAGGAATTGCTTCATGAATTCCATGTTACAGAGGAGGAAACTAAGTCTACTGAAAGTTGACTCACTTGCCTAAGACTGTGAAGAGTGACTCCAAGACTTGGATTCAGCTGATGACATCTGAGCATCAGCTTGTCATCACTCATAAGGGATGTATGATAAAGATGAAGACCAAAGATCTGGTAAAAGTATACTTTCCTAAACTGCAGAAAAAGCAATGCTTGTAGACTGAATCATTTGTGCCCAAAGTAACCTCTCAGGGATGACTTCTGTGATTCTTCTCATTCTGTGATTCCTACCATCATTACTCACACCACACAGGATCTTGCTAAGCTTTAGATCATAGAAATGTTGTCAGAATTTTAAGCACAACTGGTTTCTCATGTGTCTTAAGTACCTCTATAATTCTAGATACAAGAAGAGCATATAGAATCCTAACCAAAAAAAATTTGTTGTATTGGCCATAAAATATTTGAATTCTCAAGAGAACAATTTATATGGTAAGAAAGAGAATTTAAAGGCATCTAAAATATTGTGTACTTCCTTAGACTTTGCTCCTTTCTCTAGCTTCTTTATACCTCATGGGCTGATTTTATAGATGTTTCCAAACAAAACGACCTTTTCCTAAATTAATAAACTGCTAAAATAATCACCGGAATACTGGATCCAGCTCAGTTGTGTCATGCAATCTTTTCTGAATTCCTTTAGTAAATTTCTTACATTTTGATTTTCATTAAGACAACAAAATATATCAGCAGGTTGTTTTTAAAAAGTAGAAAGACAGCAATTGCACTACTGGGTATTTACCCCAAAGATACAAATGTAGTGATCCGAAGGGGTACATGCACCCCGATGTTTATAGCAGCAATGTCCACAATAGCCAAACTATGGAAAGAGCCAAGATGTCCATAGACAGACGAATGGATAAAGAAGATGTGGTCTATATATACAATGGAATATTATGCAGCCATCAAAAGGAATGAAACCTTGCCATTTGCAACGATGTGGATAGAACTGGAGGGTATTATGCTGAGCAAAATAAGTCAATCAGGGAAAGACATGTATCATATGATCTCACTGATATGAGGAATTCTTAATCTCAGGAAACAAACTGAGGATTGCTGGAGTGGTGGAGAGTGGGAGGCATGGGGTGGCTGGGTGATAGACGTTGGGGAAGGTATGTGCTATGGTGAGTGCTGTGAATTGTGTAAGACTGTTGAATCATAGCCCTGTACCTCTGAAACAAATAATACATTATATGTTAAAAAAATGAAGACGATAGTAGGAAGAGAAAAATGAAGGAGGGGGAAATTGGAGGGGGAGATGAACCATGAGAGACTATGGACTCTGAGAACAAACTGAGGGTTCGGTGAGGGGGGGTGGGGGGATGGGATAGCCCAGTGATGGGTATTAAAGAGGGCACGAAAAAAAAATAAATAAAAAAAATAAAGAGGGCACGTACTAAATGGAGCACTGGGTGTTATACCTAAACAATGAATCATGCAACACTACACCAAAAACTAATGTTGTAATGTATGGTGATTAACATAACATAATAAAAAAATAAAAAAAAAAGAAAAAGAAAGAAAAAAAATGCCAAAAAAAAAAAAGTAGAAAGACTGAGTTTTCCACCTAACATCTAATAGAAGGTAAACTCAAGGGGAGCAGGGACATAAATGTGTGCCTAGCACCTAGAACAGTGCCTAGCACATATAAACTTTAAATATATATTTGTTGAGTGAATTAATGAAAAATATCGCTAAAGAGAAAAACTTTGTGAATCACTTAGAAATCTCCATAAACATTTACCTTTATGTGTGTTTTGATTTTTATTCAAAACACAGCAAATTAACGTTTCTATTCTCTTATTACAAATGTAAGAGAGTTAAATACATCTTCTGAAATACAACAGATTCTGAAGGGGAGAATGACACCCATACCAAGAATACAAGAGTATATGAATTTAAATGACAACCAAAAATACCCTACATTTTGTGAACCAAAGTATAGAAATATATTTCTCTGCTATATGACCTTTTTACTGTCTCTTCAATGAACATGGGACACAAAATACTTGGCATTGATTCTGTATATGCTTTTGGCCTCCTAATGACAAAACAAAACAAAACAAATTGCATAGTTGTTTGACTTCCCCTAATGCAACTTCTGCTCAAAATTTTGCCTTCGTATTGTGTTAGTGTTCAACAGGCCAGGTGGATAGATGAGAAGGCATCTTACCATGACCAGGCAAAAGAATTTGGAAACAGGAGAATAGCATGAAAAAAGCAATGCTTATATTTTTCTCAGAATTATTATTTTCTCTTTTTGCCCTTACCTAAAATATCCCATATGTTCCTAAGCTATTATAGTTTTTATTCATTAGGGAAGTCATAGTAAAATACTTATTTCTGAATTAAAATGACATACTGGTTCAAAATGAGAGGAACATATATCTTGGCACAAGGGTTGACTCCAAAAAGCTCCCTAATATCATGCCATCAGCCATATGAATTTTATTTTTCTCATTGGTTCAACCCTGACAAATGATACCAGAAGATTTATGGATAATCTGGTCAATGTTTATATGGTATGTACTTGGAAGATTGAAACAAAGGCCAGGATGTTTGCTTTCCAATGACCCCTGCTGCACTTGGGACCCCTGCCTCTGCCACCATGTGAAAAATCTGGGCTGAATTGCTAGAACATGAGAGACTAAGGGAAGAAGACACAAGCCTTCTCCATTGAGGACACACTTGACCAGCCTCCAACTGATGTGAAAGCTGACAGCCCTCCTGTAAGGTGCTCCAACTGAGATCAGATCAGCAGAACCACACAGCTCAGCCTAGCCCAAATCGCAAACAGCTGAAACATGAGCCTACAAAAAGGGTTGGCTTAGGCCACTAAATTTTGGGATAGTTTCTGATACAGCAAAAGCTAAGCTATTGCCAATGGGTTAGTCACTATTACAGCATCATATGTCCTTTACAATGCATCACAAATAGTAACTGTCTTCTTTATTGGATGTAATCTCTATGAGGGAAGGGACCTTTGACAACCTTATTTTAGCATGTATCCTCAGCTCTTATCAGTTGCTCAGAAAGTTATTTGTGGACTGAATAAATGAATCTATTTCACAGAATTATTTTGAAGGGTCCATAAAGTGAATATTTCAATTCTTGGCATTTAATTTATTATGGGGATAGATTTTTGTTGTCCTTGGCTATATTATCTTCCTATAAGATAAGCAGTGACAAAGAAATAAAAAGCTATTCAGGAAGTCATTATCACATAAAAAGACAAATGCAGATCCTAAGTACTTGTGAAGAATACTATGCACTAGAAAAGCAAATGAATGCAGTGATTCAAATAATAAATAAGGCTAAATTTCTGTAGTTAATGAGCTTCTTGACTATTTACTCTTTATGAACTGACTTTAAAAATTCATAACAAGTTCAGATATTTTCCATACTATATTCAAAACACAGTCGGTACCTCTGCCAAGAAAAATATATTATTAATCTTACTTTTTTTTGATCACCCACACAAGTAATCACTGTAATTATCAATAAGTTAAAGTAATGCTGGAATTTACATAAAGTCATCTAAAACTTTAATCTAACAGCCACAACTGATCCATTTTATGGTCCAGTGCATGGTTAAATCTTTTATAATTAATTGGCTTGTAACTGCTGTGAGCAGCCTTCAAAAACTTAAAAAAAAATTGTCTTGTTTTTCAGAAAATGCCAAGGATAAGATGGGTAATTTGGATAGCAATTTTCTTCTCAAAACATATTTAATAATAGCTGGCAGAATTGTATTCAAAATATTATCTTCTGAATTACTTTCCAAAATTACTTTTAGACAGACGGTATTTACCTAAATCCTCATATATTATTTTAAAGTTCAGTAACAAATATCAGATGGGTATTTCAAAAATTCAACAATGCATTTAGTGAATCAATAAAATTTAAACATTTTGCTATTAATATATAGGCAGTAGTTATACACCAAATAAGATGCAGATTTGTTGTTTACTTCCAAATATCAATGTTTTTTCTACATAAAATGCATGCACCTAAGTAAAAGTTTTGTAGATTTTTCCTTCATCTCCAAATAATTGAATTCATTAGCATATGTAATGTATAAATATTTATCAGATTCCTCAGATATATATGTTATATATAACATTCACTGTAATCATAGTAGTCCTTCAAAATTTTATGTCAAGTAGGCTTTTAATACCTTCAAAGTAGTTCAAACCTGGTACACAGAGACCCTATTTTTGTTTATGAAAGGCTTTTATTTCTTTGACTCAGTTCTTCCATCTGTAAAATGAGGGTATCATCTTTTCCCTAACCATCAGCTTTATTGCAAAAAATGAGCATGATGTCTAATTTTTAAACTATTGATAGGAATATAAAGGTTTGGTTCTAGATACACTACTGAACAAAGGACGATGTTTTGTGGAATACAGGCCAACTTGACTCATGCATTGATTTAGGGTCCCTAGCCTTTCCCTGACCAATTTCCAAGTCACACCAATAGTAGATAGCATTTAAGAATGCCCTCAGCCAATCCCAAAAAGAATCCTGAGAAGAAAATCTACCTCCATAAGTGGTTTTAAGGTGTGGTTTGTTGACCTGTCCATCAGAATTTCCTTAAAAGGCCCACAAGAAAGAGAGAACTAAGAAAATAGCTAGTTATTAATCATTGCAAAGTTGGGATGCATATGAATTACTCCACACTTTTGGAGAATAATTCACTTTAGATGCTATAAATCTGGGGCACATCTTTACCACACTATGAAATACAAGCCTCTCATTCAGTCATTCACACTGAACATTTATTATGTGCCAGGAATCATACTAAGCATTGAAGATAAAGCAGCAAATAAAAAGGCAATATTAATGTTTTATTACAACTTACCTTCTTTGGGAGGCAGACAGAAAGCAAAGAATAAAACCTGGTAACTATAGATGATAATATCCTATGTGGGAAGTATTCTGAAAAAGCAAAGAAGTTCAGTGACATGATTGGTAAGAAAAGCAGGTAAGATCAAGTCAGAGACAGCCAGATTTAAATTTTATGGATATCAATCCTGCTTCAAATACCAACCAAGCTATGAGTTCAGGGTCTGAAGCCATAATGTTGAAGTCTACATTTTCACCCCATCACATGCTGCCTGTGCAATTTTGGCTTAATCTCTCTAAGACTTTGCTTCATTAAGTGTAAAACAGACATAATGATAGCACTTATTTCATAAGATTGTAATAAGATTAAATGAATTTATGCAGATGAAGGGCTTAAAATGGCAACTAGTCATAGCAAGTGCTCAATAAACATTGGTACTATCAGTTAATTGTTGTTGGTGGCATTTTTTTTCCTCCTGCTCATGGATTCATGTCCTTTCCTCTTTTCCGTAAGATTTAAAAAAAAAAATAATTTTGAACTAAATCTCAGAATAGTAGGGAAAAAATCTGAGTAAAACAATAAAAAGAGGGAAACAAATAAATAAAAAGAATATTTATTGAGTTTTAAGGTCCTAGGCATGCTGTTTGGGCTTTTCACATATAATGGCTCAATCATTATCATAAAAACCCTGTGAAATGGATAAGTACCATTTATAGATCAGGAGATTGAAGGTCAAAAGTTATCACCCAAGGTCCAAAAGAATCCAATGATAGAGCTAGTATGTCCCACAGGTAATGGAGAAGGAAGGAAGGAGGGAGGAGTATGACTAAATTTTGTTGGAAGGAAAAGAATTCTAGAACTTTTTGAGCAATGAGGAAAGAAGTAGAAATTTACACAGAAAGCTGACAAGGAAAGCATTTTGACACATTTAAAGAGCACCCAGAATTACAGACTGAGAAAAGCCTATTTTCTCTCCTTTTTTAGATCCTAAAGTACTTCATTCAATCTGGCAGCTGGCTTTCTGACTAAAGATCAAACTAGCTTCAGAAGTGAAAGAAAATGTTCAAGTATTTAAAATACATTATTAATTTTAAAATATTGTGATGGATCCCGGCATTTTCCCCACTACAACAATATACCACCTATCTTGTCTAGAATACATTCTTAAGTAATTTGAGTTAATTTCCTGGTAAATTTTGTCTTAGAATTCCTTAAACACATAATTCAATCTAAAATACCTCTGAACATCTACAGAAAAATCTGAGAAAAAGAAATATAAACTTTTAAAAAGCAGAAGGAAAACAATATGACCAAATGCTTTCTTATAATCTTCCAGTTGATCAAATGCTCAAGATATTATTATTAATTCCTTTTCAGAATCTTTTAGGGTGTGAATGCAGACTCTTCTATGCCAAGGGAAGGACTATCTGGGGTTCACCTCTGTATCATGCTCAATAAAGCATGCAGCACGCTGAAAACTTTATGAGAAATGAAGCATCATAATCTTCCTATTTGCTAGGTTTTAAAAATTATATGAAGATTTAATAACTTTTCTAGACACCCAAAGCAAACCAGAGCCTTTCATCTACACTAAAGGGTATTATTACTTTTGGAAACTGCCATAAAATGAATTAGTTAAAAATCCAGTGATGTATAGTCACAGTCCTAGAATTAGATGAAAATTGAATTCATTGTCCAATCTAGACAAGAAGATTTAAACAAGGAGATATTTACTTTGGTTCTAAATTCAGAAGCTGTTTCTGAAATAAAGTGAAGTCAGTATCCATTTTCCACCACTTTCTCATCCAAATGATAGAACAAGGAATTCTGTCTTTGATGACCAGAAACTGAGAAATCAATGAAAGATGAGTGATACAGGATTGATGGAAACAGAAAATCAGAGTGCAGGGGTAGACTTTTACAAAAGCAAAGAGCTGCCCATGAGTATTCAAACCTCAGAGGTGTCAGGTATGAGGTGCCTAAGGGGATCTTGGAGCCCTCAGTGGGAGGTACTCACATCAAACTCATTTCAATGATTACCTCCTGGGAGAGAGATTGGAGATAGAGAAGGTGATATCAGGGGAGTTTTATTTTAGCTGAATTGTTAGACTTCTTTACAATGAGAATGCTATTATTACTCATACACTTATGTGATTGAAAATTTTCAAGAAATAAACAACAAAAAAATGAGTGTATATAAAATACCCTTTGTGTTTGAGGCATGAAAACAAATTTCCAAATTCAAGACTAAGTCATTATATGAAAAACCTACGTCTGGGGAATATTTGCATTTAGGTTTAATCCTATTATATATTCGAAGGCAGACATTCTTAGTTCCTGACTTAATGTCTACATTATCATTTGTGCACAGAGGAAATGCATCATTTTCCCCCATTTTATCACACTGAAACTATAAGCCAATAAATTATTTCCCAACATAGATACAGGAAGAAATCTGACTCAACAAAAACAAACATTTCCTACTTAAATTATTTAGCATTCTGCCATGTTATTTTTTAAAAGGCAAGAAAAGACAATTATGCCAAACATTTATATAAAACTTTCTTTGATGCAAACTTACAAAAGACTCATCTGAACAGTTTATCAACATCACCACAATTCCACTTGGAAGATGCAGTTAACCATTCAAACTACATAAAAGGGAGTGAATCACTCATACAAATACGTTCTTTACACATCAGAGGGGCCAGGAGCCTAAATAATGGAACACTATGTAAGTGAATAGGAAGTGGGCAATGATTTTTTTGGGGGGGGCGGAGGAGGTGGTATTTGTTTTTTTTTTAACAAACGGAAGGGCAGTTTGGAAAAAAATGGTTGGCAAAGCAACCATTCATTAAAAATGGACAGGTTTGCTAAGTAAAGGATGTAGCCAAGATAAATAGTACAATTTGGAGACAACTTCTTGAGACACCACACCTTGAACAAAAAATATGTACACATTTCTGGATCAAATTAGTTATTTCTGCTTCTACTTATAAAGGAGTAATGGGAATCAGAATTACCCTCCTACCTGAAACAACAACAGCCAAGATACATGAAACAACCATTTTCTTTCTTTCTTTTTTTTTTTTTTAAGACTGTATTTATTTATTTATTTGTCAGAGAGAGAGAGCACGCACAAGCAGAGAGAGAAACAGGCAGGGGGAGAAGCAGGCTCCCTGCTGCGCAAGGAGCCCGATGCAGGACTTGATCCCAGGACCGTGGGATCATGACCTGAGCTGAAGGCAGATGCTTAACCAACTGAGCTACCTAGATGCCCCATAACAACCATTTTTCAAGATATAGTGAACTCTGGATGATGGAAACAAATGAGATGTGTCCTATGTATAACCCAAATCCAGGCATACCGGTTTTATTGTGTTTTGCTTTGTTGCTCTTCATAGATACTGCATTGTTGTTTGTTTATTTTGTTTTTTACAGATTAAAAGTTCCTGGCAACCCTCTCTTGAGTAAATTTATGGCCACCATTTTTCCAACAACATTTGCTCACTTCATGTCTCCAAGTCACACTTTGGTAATTCTTGCAATATTTCAAACTTTGTCATTATTATTACATTTGTTATGGTGATCAGCGATTAATGATTATGACTCAGATGATGTTTAGGACTTTTCGACAATAAAATATTTTTTTAAATGAAAGCATGTACATTGGGTTTTTTTAGTCATAATGTTATTGCAACTTGATAGACTACAGTATAGTGTAAACATACACTATATGCACTGTGAAACCAAACAATTCTTAGACTTGCTTTATTGCAATATTCACTTCATCCTGGTGGTCTGGAACCCAACTTGCAGTATCTCTGAGTTATGCCTATATTGTCTCAAGAGTGTCGGCAATCCATGGTGCAGGAAGAAGGGGTTATAGAGACTCCCTGAGTTGAGGAAATGGAGCTGAGAATCTAGGCAGACTCACACAGGAGTACTAGAGAAAAGAGAGCTGCAGAAAGAACTCTGAAGATCTGCACAGGGCCCCTTCTGAGTATTCACCTGAGTACTGATCAGACCATGCGTGTAAGGAATCTACCCAAGGCTGAGAAAAGAACAACTCATGAAGATTAAAGGTAATGATGACCAGCACTCACTCAAGGCTAGAATAGTACTTAGTCCCACTAGCCAGACTGAAAAAGCTCACTCATGGGATATTGGGGAGAGTAAACAAAAGGTGTTGTTTAATGGGAAATAATCAACAGTAGGCTGAATACCACTGTGGTCTAAAAGAATTATCTTAATAGCTAGACCCCAAGAACTAAACAGTTTTTTAGTTACTTTACTGTGTCCAGAACAAAGTCAAAATGTTGGAGTAGAGAAATATCCACCATCCAACAATATAATATTTACAATGTCTAGTATTCCATCAAAAATTACCAGATTTAGGAAAATACAAAACATAATGAGGAGAAAAATCAAGGAATTGAAACTGACCCAGAACTGATACAAATGTTAGAATTAGCATATAAGGACATTAAAACAGTTTTCATGACTATATTACATATGTACAAAAAGTTAAGTAGAGACATGGTGATATTAAAAAAAAGACCCAATCAAACTTCCAGAAATAAAAATTACAATATATGAGATGAAAAATCTTCCCACAAAGAACACTTCAAGCCCAGATGGCTTCACTGGTGAATTCTACCAAACATCCAAGGAAATAATACTAATTCATTATAAACTCTTATGGAAAATTAAAAGAAAATTGAATGTCCTAACTCATTTTATGAAGACAGCTTTACCCCAACAACAAAATCAGACAAAATCATGAGAAAAGAAAACTACAGATCAATATCCTTCATCAATACAGATGCCAATTTGGACTGAATCCAATAATATATGCAAAGAACAATATTGCATGACCAAGTGAGGATTTGATCGCAGGAATGCAAGTGGGGTTTGATCTTTTGAAAATTAATCAATGTAATTCACCATAATAACAAACTAAAAAGAAAAATCATATGATCATCTAAGGGGATGCAGAAAAAAAAAATGACAAAATCCAACATACATTATTGATAAAAACTCTCAGCAAAATAGGAACTTTCTCGATTAGATAAAGGCCAACTATGAAAAG